AGGACCGAACAGTTCCACCAACTGAAAACCAAGCACTGAGATATATGAGTCTACAGGGGCCATTGTCCTTCAGACCACCACAGGGACCAAGAGGTCTGCTTGGCTTACAGTTCCAGCCATAGTCCATCCCTGTGGGGAAGTCACAGGGATGGGCTTAAAGCAACTAGTCACACCAAAACCAGGAGGAGAGAGAAACGGGTACATGCATGCTGCTGTCTTGTGCTCAGCTAGCTTTCTTCTCTTATTCAGCCCATGACTCCAAGTCCAGGAAATGGTGCTACCCACAGTGGGCTGTGTCTTTCCATATCAGTTAAGGCAATCAAGAAAATTCCCCTGGGCAGTGGTAGCACATGCCTTTAGTTCCAGTACTCGAAAGGCAGAGCCAGGTGGATCTCTGTGAGTTCATGGCCATCCTGGTCTACAGAGTGAAATCCAGGACAGGCACCAAAACTACATCAAGAAACCCTGTCTCAAAAAACAAAAAACAAACAAACAAACAAAAAAAAAGGCAATTTCCCAGAGGCATGCTCACAGGCCTATCTGGGCTGGACAAATACAGAGACTCTGTCCAGGTGATTCCAGGTTGTTTCAAGTTGACAATAAAGCTAGCTACCACATAACCCCTCTTCTCCCTAACGCTTATGATCAGAAAGAGTAAAAGAGATGAAATTATATAGATAGCCCTTAAGCAGTTTCTTATCATAGGAGGAGGAGTAATGAATAAAAGAGGGAAGACCGTTTGAAAACCCAGAAAAATATTTATTGTAAAAAATATCTAATTAAAACCAGGCATGGTGACACGTGCCTATAATCCCTACACTGGGACAGAGTGCTTTCAAGGTTGGAGGAAGTAGCTCTGGCTCCATCTCCACCTACACTATATCGCTAGATGCTATCTTAAACAAACAAAAAATTCAGATTAAGGTGTCATGAGTACTATGGTTGTGTCTGTACCAGGCATGGGTGTGTTGTTGCACACCCCAGGGTGAAATGGTCAGGAATCGTGGGGTGTGCTAATTTCCACACCAAAGGATTGTTAAAAGATGAGCCAACTCCTCTCAAGAGATCTAGAACTGAGTATGTGTTAGTAATTGTGCTTTAAATCTTACCCCGAGGTGACCTTCCAAATTTCTGTAGGTGAAAGTCTTATGCTTCTAGAACGACACACAAAGAAACACTGGAAGGCTCACACAAAGAGCTGTGAGCTCAGCTTCCAGACTGACTGAGTAGTAACATTTTCATGATCTTGTGCTGTGGGATGGTCTGTATGTCAAATTACTCTGATTGGTCAATAAATAAAACACTGATTGGCCAGTGGCTAGGCAGGAAGTATAGGTGGGACTAACAGAGAGGAGAAAAGAAAGAACAGGAAGGCAGAAGGAGTCACTGCCAACCGCCACCATGACAAGCAGCATCTGAAGATGCCAGTAAGCCACGAGCCACGTGG